TTATTATTATTATTATTACTTTTACTGTTTCAACGTTGATGTCTCAGCTATTAAATACAAGGTCGAGTGCAACATATATTATTAATTACATTCATTAACGAGAGCTACGTTTGCATATACCTATACACACATACATAACAGATAGCTAATACACAATTAGACGCGCAAACACACACACACACAAATCCTATAGTTTGTTATTATTAATAACACATACATACACACATAAATGCATATATAACAGGTCAATTGAAAAGTCCCCGGCCTAAAATAGTAAAACACATTTTTTTTGCAAAATTTGTTTTTTTTATTCAACATAATTCCCTTCAAGGGTGATACACTGATTATAGCGATCCTCCAACTTTTCGATACCATTTTTGTAGTACGATTTGTCCTTTGCTTCAAAATAGGCCTCAGTTTCGGCGATCACCTCTTCATTCGACGAAAATTTTTTCCCAACGAGCATTCTTTTGAGATCTGAGAACAGGAAGTAGTCGCTGGGGGCCAGATCTGGAGAATACGGTGGATGCGGAAGCAATTCGAAGCCCAATTCATGAATTTTTGCCATCGTTTTCACTGACTTGTGAGACGGTGCATTGTCTTGGTGAAGCAGGACTTTCTTTTTCTGCAAATGCGGTCGTTTCTCGGCGATTTCGTCCTTCAAACGGTCCAATAACGCTATGTAATAGTCGCTGTTGATGGTCCTTCCTTTTTCAAGGTAGTCAATGAAAATTATTCCACGCGCATCCCAAAATACAGACGCCATAACCTTGCCAGCCGACTGTTGCGTTTTTGCACGCTTTGGAGCGGGTTCATCGTGTGCAGTCCACTCCGATGACTGTCGATTGGACTTCGGAGTGAAATGATGGAGCCATGTTTCATCCATTGTCACATATCGACGCAAAAACTCGGGTTTATTACGCGTGATCATCTTCAAACACTGCTCTGAATCATCAACTCGTCGTTGTTTTTGGTCAAAAGTGAGCTCGCGCGGCACCCACTTTGCACAGAGCTTTCTCATACCCAAATATTCGTGAATGATGTGATGTATACGTTCCGTTGATATCTGTAGAGTGTCTGCTATTTCATTCAATTTCAATTTACGGTCATTCAAAATCATTTTGTGGATTTTTTTAATGTTTTCGTCCGTAACAGCCTCTTTTGGGCGTCCACTGCGTTCACCGTCTTCGGTGCTCATTTCACCACGTCTAAACTTAGCATACCAATCCTTGATGGTTGATTTTCCTGGGGCAGTGTCCGGAAATTCGTTATCAAGCCAAGTTTTTGCTTCAACTGTATTTTTTCCCTTCAAAAAGCAATATTTTATCAACACGCGAAATTCCTTTTTATCCATTTTTTTCACAATAACAAAAGTTGCTTCACTAAAAATGCTATAATTCACAAACTAATGATCCGACAGCTGTCAAATTTATAGACGTGTCTTTTGAAGGTTAGGACTAATTAAAAATCATATGGATTTAGTTCTGGTGCCGCCATCTATGTGTCAGGCCGGGGACTTTTGAATTGACCCTAGTACATACATACAAGCATGCATACACGCAAAAATTTGCACACGTGGCGTATTGTAGTGGGCGTTAACAAAAACAAAAAAACCGTAAATAACAACAAAAAAAATGGACGATGTCACGCCTATCCAGTCATTAACAAAATGGACGATTACAACATCATTACAAAATATTCTATAAATGGCAATGCGGGGGGAACAGGGGGGAACGATTGCAAGCTCGAAGGCGTTAACAAAATGGAGGATAACAACAAGAAACACTCACATGACATAACAGGGGGGCGGGGCCGACCAATCAGAGGACAAAATCTAACGAGCGGAAGTGCCGTAAGAAAAGCATTGGGAGATAAGGAGATTTGCCCCTAGATATCCTACTCTTTTTTTACTTGTAGGAAGGCGATTCTGCAGATAATTCGCTGTCATGACAGCTTCCCCCCAATACTTTTTCGGTAGGTTTGCATCTATCAGCATCTTGTCATTTCAATTAGTGATCGATTTTTCCTTTCTGCTACCCCATTTTGTTCTGGCGCATAACCGGCCGTATATTGTATCTTTATGTCGTTTTCTTTCAAATAATTTTTTGATTGATTGTTACTGTATTGATGATCTGATGATTTTCGGTGTTTTATCGAACTGTACTTACATTAATTCCACGAATTGTTTTATACAAGCTGTTGTTTCAGATTTGCGATTGAGTAAATAAATAGTT